CAGAGTAAAGAACATGAGATTTAAGTAAGATCTGCTTTCAACTCAATATACACCGGAACGATTACATAGAAAGTTTATGAGTACACATGTGGAAAAGTTTTTATGAATCTCTATAATACTTACTCTATTTATAGGGTACTCACAGAACAAAAAAAAAATACTAGGACTCGACATCAAAGTACGAACCACTTAAGTTCCTAGTAAAGACATTTAACAACAAAGTTAGGAAGACGATCGCTATTTACATATGAATCCCAGTTTAAGACGCTAAGGTTCTTCATCTCACAACAAATATAGACTCTACATGTTTAACTAATTGGTTTCTACTTAGCTAACTTTTTAGTTTTTGTAGAAAAGTTTGATTTTGATTGGGTTTTCTTGGATCCAAAGAGTGCTAGGCTATTAGAGGGCTTTGAGGTAGTTTTATTAAAACGTTTTCGAGTTTGTAAAGCTAACAAAAAAAAAAAATTTTGAAATTCGGAGGGTATGAGGATATCTCGAGATCATTAGCTACCCCTCGGATGATATATATAGTGAAAGTTGGAGGAAAACAATTGAGTATTACCAAATAGATAACTACATAATTGCTTCAAAAAGAAAGAAAAAGATCTATGAACTGCAAACGTCCGTGAGCCATGGGGGTTGAGCTCGTACAGTAGTACTTGATATAAAAAGGTGATCTACGATATATGTAATTATTAATTTAAAATATAATCTATTTTTTAATGTTAAACAAAACCTGAAGAGAAAACGTTCCATGTTGCTCATAAAAAGGGTGTATTTGTTAGTCATATCGATAAGCAACAATACGTACGTACTTAATTATAATTTTATCATATAATTATGTACTTATTTACACTTAATTGGTAATCATTTTTGGAAAACACATAATCATTTAGTGTATGAGCTCTTATAACAAACAGAAGGGTAAAATAGAGAAATATATTTAATCACCCACTTGAGATTGTTTAGAGAAAGTATTAGGTTCTTGGCATGTTGATATCAGAGGCATCAGCCGAAAACCTTCTATTATTCTGTCAATTGCACATTCATCGTAGCTACTACCACAGTCATAACCATTACTACTAAAACAAGACTATTTAATTTCAATATCACACATGCACACACGCACACACACACGCACACACACACACACACACACACACACATATATATATATATATATATATATATAACATCTATGCCAAAAGTATAAATTTTAGACCAAATCTGTAATAAAATTTAAAACTGGGCAAAAAAAAAAGTAAATTTTTGACAAAATTTGTAATTTTTGAAAGTTGAAGGACCTATTGACTGTGTAGAAGGGTCAAATTAAGTACAATAACTGATTTTTTGGGACTTAATTGAATAAAAAAGAATGTAAAGACAAAATCGATTATGAGCTAATATGTAAAGACTTTTTTTTGTAGTTTTCCCATCATATATATATATATATATATAGGGGAGGGTTCAATTGAGAAAAAAAAGGTTGACAATGGGGGAATCATTCTCAGCCAATCATTTATTTTTGCGTCAAAAGGCTCCAACGTACCGGCGGAAATGGGAAACGAATGCACATGTGTTTTCAACATAACATATTTCCTTAAACTATGCTAATCATTACCTTAATATATACAAAAACATATTTTTTTTTCGTTTTTTTTAAATTTTTATAAGCTATTTTTATCAAAAAATGATTTTAAATATACCAAAATTCATGATTTTTTATTCTCTACAAATAGATATCCATATTGATATAGTTTTAAGATAAAATAAATTTTTTTTTTTATATTTTCAGCTATCGTTATTCATAAATGAATAACAATGCTTCAGGTTTTATTATAGTACATTCGTTATTCACTTATGAATAAAAAGTATGATTTTTTTTTACAATTTAAGTATCATTCATATATGAATATAGCATATAATAAACATAGTATATTCATATTTTAATATTGGACGATGAATTCACTTGTGAATATTAACATAGTATATTCACTTGTGAATATTAGATGGTATATTCACTTATGAGTATTAAATGATATTTCATATGTGAATATTACATAGTATTACATGGTATATCACATGTGAATATTACAGAGTATATTCACTTGTGAATATTAGATGATATATTCACTTATGAATATTACACAGTATATTCACATATGAATATTACAAGGTATATTCACTTATGAATATTGAAGGTATTTTGACAAATATATATAATTTTTATACGTTATCCACATATGAATAACATATAGACTTGCATATTTGTTTTGTGTTTTTAATAATCATATACTGATTCAGGTGAGAAAACATATTCATATGTGAATATAACGTGGTAATTTAGTTTATGCATTTCATCAAACAGTTGGTGTGTAAACAAGTTAACTCTTTTAAAAATGTTAAAAACATAAAGTTATCAATTCCAAATCATCATATACTTCCGATTTCAACTTCAGATGCGACATCCTATCTCTGATCGATTTCTCAATCTGATTTGATTTCCGAAAATCCGATTGGGAACCTGTGAGTACCGATTCTAAGTCCCTTAATGTCGACTGTGATTGCGAGTCCAGAACTACGATTTCAATTTCATGAACAACGAAGAAATTCCGGTTTAATTGTAGAAATATAGATGATTATTGAAGGTTGGATGAAAAATTTTGATGATAAACGAACAGTTATCGAATTCTTTGTAGTTACGTATTTGAGATTGAAGGTTATTACGATATTTACAAGTTTGTCACCGTGTCTTTTATGCTTAGATTAAATGACTGGTTGAGAATGATTCCCCTATTTTCAACCCTTTTTATTTTCTCAATTGAACCCACCTTTATATATATATATATTATATATATATATATATATATATATATATATATATATATATATATTGATCAATAAATGCATGTTGATTTAATAATTGTGTTTTTGTCCTAAGTACAAGAAATAACAAAACAGTTTGCGATTTCATGTATTTGTCGTTCTGTAGCACAAAATAGATAGAACGTAAGCTATCATTTCTTTTAAAATAACACTATTAAATTTCAAAGTTTGATATATCTATATAATGATTAATAAATGCATGTTGATTTGGAAATTAAGTTTATGCCCCAAGTACAAGAAATAACAATGTACTTTTGGAATTTCTTTTATTTAAGTGCTAAAAATAACAATGTATTTTGGTAGATATTTTTTTGTTGAAACTTTAACTTAGGAAAAATTGCAAAAAAGTCCTTACATATTGGTCTTATAATCGATTTAGTCATTATATTATTTTTCTATTCAATTAAGTCTTAATAGCCAATAATTAATTTCAATTTGACCGTTTTACCTAGTCAACTTCTCATTTAACTTTAAAAAATTACACTTTTGACCTAGATTTCAAAATTTGTTACAAATTAGGTTGAAATTTTACACTTTTGGCACATATTTTAAATTTTATTACAAATTGTTCCAAAATTTATCCTTTTGACCCATATTTCAAAATTTTCTTATGAATTCATTATGTCTTTAGTTTTTTTACAACATTTTTCTTAAAAATTTGTTTCAAATATGTCTTTTCTTTATAAAATCATATTGATAAATACGTTTAGAATGATAGTGATTATATATATATATATATATATATATATATATATATATATATATTAAATTTGTATTTGTATATAAATGTATTTATAACAAAATAGATGTTTCTATACATTTTGTTTTTATAAAATATTTGTTTGTATATATATATTTTGTAAAAACAGATTTGTATATATTTATGTACTTAACAAGTACCTATATTTTCGAAAAAAAAAAAAAAAACTAAAGTTATGATGAAATCTTAACACTTCTGAAATCCTGGGGAAGAAGATTAAATTTTTGAGCAAATTTGTAATAAATTTAAAATCGATGCTAAAAGTGTAAATTTTAGATCAAATTTGTAATAATATTTGAAATCTAGACCAAAAGTATAATTTTCGAAAACTGAATTACATGTTGACCGGCTAAAATGGTCAAATTTAATATAATTACTTATTTTTTGGACTAAACTGAATAAAATAACATAATAACTCAAGTGATTACGAACACTATATATATATATATATATATATATATATATATATATATATATATATATATATATATATATATATATATATATATTTTTGCAATTTTCCCTTTAACTTACAAGTTTATATACGATGTTATGTATTATGTAGTGGAAAAATCTTCATGTAATGCTCAATGTCTCAGCGTGTAGGAAGAACCTTTATGCATTTTTTTTTTTCATTCAGTGAAACTACCAAATGATGATCAAGGAGGAAATGAGGAGATCGTCGGATTAGTTTGTGTTTTGTTAGACTTGTTATGACATAACTTTATCACTTTTGTTGTTTATTTTAGTATTTTTATGAAATTTTAACACTTTGAAACTTTATTAGATGTTATTTAATTTTTTTTCTGCATCTAAAATTTTCGTATTTTCAGCGATTAATGTCATTACGTATCGTTTTTCTGCACATGAAAAATGACTATTAGAGACAACACTATTATCGGTGACACATGCTTATTACCGGCGATAGCAGTTATTATCGGCGACATCATTATTAGGGTGACATTTTGAGCAATAGCGACAGGGCAGTAGCCACGTGTCGCTGCTAATACATTTACCGGTGGCAAAGCTAAATTTTAGTGGCGATTTTCGTTGCTGGTAATAATCGTTTTCTTTAGTGGTATAAACACGATGAAATTATGATAAACTTGAATGTCACTTGCAAACATTCACATTTTGACAGTCCTACGATATCCTATAAGAACCCTTCTGAATAATAATAATAGAAATGTTATCTTTCAGTATAAATTATTTCACTTCAATTCCACTCAAATATACAACGAAAACCTTGAAAACAAGGAAACACCAAATGAATATGCATGGTTAGCCAATTATGTTGTATCTACATCCGCTTTAAATATCTTGTAACAAAAAAAAAAAAAAAAAAAAATACAAGCCAAGTCCTCATCTAAAAAAACCAATGAACTATTCCTTAATGTAGGGCTTTGAATTATATACTTGGCCACAACAAATCAATTTTCACAAAAAGAAGATATGAAACATATTGGACTAGCAGGGTGTGATTGGTGATTTTCTGTAAGTATTACTATCTATCACGATTTCAAAAAGATCCCCTTCAGACGCCTCATCATAATCCTTTGTCTTTCCTTTATTAACATTACTATTATATTGTCCACTTCTTGTCGCGTATCCATTCAACCAATATTGTGAATCTAATATTCCCATTGAAAAAAGCTCTTTGCTATCTTCATATCCTAACGATGTAGAATTTGCCATTGGTCCAATGAAGCAAGGATTTTGGGTTCTTTGCAAATTTGCGGGTGCATATTTGAAGATACTTTGGCCAAAATTTACAAGCACCATAACATCACTATTTGCAGCTAGTGTTGGGTAGAGTGGACTCCCAAATTCTTCACCCTTACAATGGATTTCATGCACTAATTTTGAATCTAGAGTGAAGAAAACTTTCTTCTGACTTGGATTATACCCACAACCAATCACCTTATCTGTTTTTTCCCATATTTCTATTTCTGATTCAATTTCGAGCTTCGTTCCTACAACATCATTACACACCAAATCATTAAGCAAAATAGTTTTAAAAACTAACTATTTTATTTGCTTACAATAATATAAACTATAAAGATTTTACTCAATATAAATTAAAGCTTGATATGATCATTACGTAGTAACATATAATATAATATAAAATGAAGAACGAAAGGATCATATACGAAACAAAAGGTTGATTACTTATAAAATATGCAAATGATCAGAGCATTATTTAACTCGTATTTAAATTATTAAAAAACGAGCGACATGGGAAGTAGGCACAACAACAATAATAATTAATTGGGCAGTCTTCCAAGTGTTCGAAAACTTTGAACTAAAGAAGTCGTATTTGTGGGTCACATGTTTGTTGTTAGATGCATATCCGATTGTTTCTTTATGTTATATTTTATGTACTTTCAAACAAAATCAAAACTAAGCAAGAATATTATTTTGTCTTGACTAAAGAAACTATAAATTACATCACTTATACTAGTAAACAGCTGATATGAAATCTTAAGACATGATTATTGGAGTGGTTGGTATATTCTTGAGATAGCATAGAGATTTAAAAAAAGACAAATTTCAAAAAAAAGTAACAGTGTATTTTATTTACATTAACAATAAAAATAATATTCTTTACCCTTTTCCATGAGAAAATAACCGACCTTTACTAGTGTCTCGATGTCGTTGAAAAGCTATTTTAACTTCTTATGATTAACTATATATAATATATGGTTTTGGAATTTGACTCTAGAAAACTTCAAAAAAAAAAATTAAAAATTAAAAAAAAAAAAAAAAAAAAAAAAAAAAAAAAAAGAGCGTACCATCTAGGTAAATAGAGCCATCGGAATTGAAGCCAACGGATCCCGGAAAACTCCCCGGAAGTTTCACCGGAACAGAACCTTCACCAGTAAGACCCACCGACAGCATAACAATCACATCATTTTTCCCTTCAACTATACCCTTTGTACAATTTCGACCCTTCGAGTCTTCAAAAATGACATGCAAGCCCTTGTCATTTACCTCATTCTCTTGAATTAGTTTTATATTTTCCCCTTCTCCCGTGTTTAATCTTCCCTTTCCGTTGATATCACTTCCGTTTTCATTATCGTAGTTGGACAAAATAGTAATTTCAAAGTATGCTTCTTGCGGGAATGGCGACGGATTCCCCAACGCCGGACCTGGTAAAGGCAACGCCGATTTAATCACTGAAACCGCTGCCATTGAAGTCGTTGTTGTTGTCGCGATTTTCTTTAATCCGGAATTCAGCCGAACTTTTTGCATGAAATCAGCGGATTCCTGGCAAACTTCCCAACTGGTTTCCACCTCCTCCGCCCGATCTTCACCGCTGACATCCCCACCGGAAGCGCAGGAGCCGAGTAGAAACCGGTTTGACCGGACGGACGACGAGGAGATGTATTCAGTAAAAGCAAATCGCGACCAACCGTTTTCCACGGCGTCGGTGATGAGTGAAGGGTTGTCTGACCAGGTGAACAGAGGTTTTGTGGACATCCCACGTTGGGAGCCGTAGTAACTTGATCTTCTTTTGGTATTGACTTGATTATCTCGATGATGAATGTCGGGGTCTCCGGCGATTGGCTGCGTGGGTTTTGGGTTGCAGCGCCGGTGCTGGAAGAAGAAAAAGAGGAGGAGGAATACTCCGGCGCACGCAACCACCAATGCGATGTGTATCAACATCTTGAATTTTGGAGATGAATGAAAGAATAGTTTTAATGAAATCGAAGTGGGTGGGTTATATGTGAAGGTGGACGGCGGGCATGGACTCTTGGAGTCTGGACTGGTTCAAGAAAAGAGAAACATGGAAAAATTAAGGAAAAATTAATCAATAAAATATTGGTAATTTAATTTAATTTTTTTTGCCTCTTTATCTTCCCCTAATATATTGATTTAATTTGTTACATTAAATCGACACAACTTCTGCTGTTTTGACTTCTATTCGTTTTCTTATCTTGCCAACATTCCAACAGACATGTTTAATATGCTGTAGCTACTTATATTACTTGCTAGTTGATAAAGAATAAGAAGTTCTAACAATAATGTGGTTTTTAAGGGGACGAAAATAATAATATTTTCTTATAGCAAACATTAATATTAGTTTTCGTTTCTAGAGGGATATATAGATCGGGACTGATCAGCTTATATCATGCTTAAAGTATTTGGCAAGTCAATGGTTTTACCTCAAAGTCATTTTATTTTCTTGGTGAGCATTACAAATTAGAGAAGACATGTCTAAATAATAAACATTTATTTAATTGCTATATAACACATTATTGATTACCTAGACACAAATTTTGTTGATGTGGACTAGTGTGAGAGGGAGGGAATATCGATGACAACTATGCTCGTCTAATCTCTTCCTCTTCGTTGCGCATCCCTTCATTCATCGATTCATATATGTACTTGTGAAATTTTGATCCGTTACTAAACAATAAAAATGTGGATAAATGGCAGATGAAGATAAATGGGATGATGGAATAACTAAAGCCTGCTAGATACGATGAGGAAAATATATCCAAATGATAGAATAAACTATCAAATATTTTGATTAATAAGAATACACCACTCGTCCACTCGAAATGCCAAAATTTTGATACCTAAACAAAGAGTAACCTAACACATATAGGACCAAATAGGATGCGGAAATAATAAGCCAACAATTTCTAACAAATAAACCAACAATATGAAAATACATTTAATTACAATAATAACGGATAACATTTAACCTGGTTTTACAACCGAATTGGTGTGTACATCGATCCATAAAAGAGATGATATCGTGTATATGCACAATCAAAGGTGGGTTACAACACTTACCAAGTGTACAAATTATGATAAAAACAAGAAAAATAATTAAAATAACCTTAGAGAAACAGATAAAAAAATTAAATTAAAATAGAACTAGCCCTAAAAATGAGCGAAATGCAACACTTAAATGAAAACAACCCCGAATTGCTACTTCTCGGCTATTCTAGGCGGCAGTCAAGTGGCCAATTAGGCTGAAATTTTGAAAATCGACACTTGAAGTTGCAACCGAGTGGCGATTTAGGTCTGACCAAAAAACAAAAACCATGAGCCCACTTGAAGTTGTCGAGAAGTGGCTATTAACTCATACTACTAGAAAACTAGGTCAATTGCTATGACACAATCCATAGGTATTTAGTAGGTATATCACGATAACTACGGATTTGCTACGGAAAATGCCCTATGACATAAATGCTTGTGGGAAATTTATACCTATAGATTTGCTACGGACTAGCTACGAAATAGCTACGACCAATTCCGTAGCTATAATACATACATATTAGCTACGGACATGAATTGCTACATAATACCTAAGAATTGCCGACGTGTGTGAAGCTTGACTAAAATTGAATATTTTCCTACGGAATCATATAGCTGTGGATTTCCTAGGGATTACCTACGCGAGCCGAGTTTGACCAAAATTGACTTTTTCCTTCGGAATAGCTACAGAACTGTTTAGCTACGGATTTCCAACGAATTAACGACGAAATTCAAGTTTCACTAAATTTGACTGTCTTCCTACGGAATACTTACGGACCTATTTAGCGATGGATTTTCGTAGCTAGTCCGTAACTAATTTTATTTATCAAAAAATAAAATTTAAAAAATTTAAAATTTTCCATTTATTTTAGCGAATGCCATATATTAATTTAATTTGTCGAAAATACAATAAAAAATACACCAAAAAATGTCCCTAATATCAACTTTGACATATTTCATTCTATTGTCTCAAAATACCATTCAAATGTCTCAAATAACATACAAATTAAGCATAACGAAACAAGCAAACAATACAGGTGTTTACAAATTCAATTATTCCAAAATACATAACAATTGTCCTCGAGTGGATTATCGGGGGCCACGGTGTTGATTTCCAAACATATTTATCATCCGTATAACTATTTCCATTTATAAACTTGTGCACGTAACCTATTAACTTAAAAAATGATAACACAATTCAATACTTAAACAATAATAGCATTGTACTTTAGTTTATTATAACAATTCATTTTAGTTTATAATTATAGCAATACACTTAACTTTTAACCATAATAGCAACGTATATTTATTTCTTATCAATTTAATCAATATTATCAACGAACTATATAACTTTTAACCATAATAGAAACATACTTTTGTTTATTATCAATTTAATCAATATTATCACCAAACTACCTAACATTTAACCATTATAGCAACGTACTTTTGTTTCTTATCAATTTAATCAATATTATCAACAAACTACATAACTTTTAATCATAATATCAAAGTAATTTTGTTTATTATCAATTTAATCAATATTATCAACAAACTAGCAAACTTTTAACCATAATAGCAACACACTTTTGTTTATTATGATTTTAATCAATATTATCAACAAACTACCTAACTTTTAACCATTATAGCAACATACTTTTGTTTATTATCAATTTAATCAATATTATAACCATACCTTTTGTTGCGTGTTGTCCGACTAGGTGGATTGGGAAGATGGTGTCCCTGAAACCAAAAGACGTATATTTGACGTTCCTATCCCATAGGTAGCATCCTTCTTCTTTCATTTTCTTCTAAGTTGTCTTTCCTCCCATACATCTACATGATCCTTATGGTTTGCAGGATCTTCACCATATTCTTGACCAACCCCTATAACTACGCCTCCTACGAATTACCAAAACAACACGATTGTCATATAAAAAAATGAGGCAATCAATATACATAAATAATAAAGATAAATTACATGTGCTTCTTTGGTCGTCTGTGAGCAATCTTCGAGATTTTCATGATTTCCCTCAAAATATATTTTCTTCGACTCAGCAGTGCCATGCGTATTCATGAAAACATCATAATGTGTGGGTGGTTTACCAATCAATTTTCCCTACATAAAAGTCAAAGTACAATTAATGTAGTTAGTTTTATAACAAAATAAGAATAATAAAATTTATAATTGTGATACTTACTAAGTTCCTACGGTGCTGGTCAAATCCTATACTACCCGTAGTGTGTCTTATTGTTGACCCATTAGAATTTGCGTTGTTACATCTAAAGTCAATAGCTACCAAGGAATACCCATTCTCAACACTAAGTGCATTGCTCCTAGAGTGGCTGGTGATATAACCTAAGTGGTTAACCTAGCACTTGATAAGGGGTACGAATATTTCTAAATAAAGACATTATGGTAAAAGTGCACTTAGTTTCTAAGTGTACCTAGATGAATGCCTATAATATGCAATGCCCGTACGCACACCGAAAAATTTTGTTGTTCAAAGTTCAAGCTGAAAATCGTTTTGAACATAATTCTACTATAACCGTTTCAAGCATAACATTAAGTTTCCTTAATTAAGCATAGTTGGCCAGGCTATACTTAATTAAAGTCCAATAATGCGTACTCAAATTAGTCATACTAGTAGTATGTTCAGTATTTTAAAAACGTTTAGAATTTTTTATTTTTTTGGCTATAGTTGTGGTTTTCCAAAGGAACACCGGTATTCTCTATAACCTTCGGCTCTGATACCATTTCTTGTCACACCCCGCTAAAGCGGAAACACGAGGCGTGGCAGTATAAATGGTTTCATAGCAAAAGTTAAAAGACAACACCAACCATAGAATTAAAAATCATTACAAATTTACAATGGGTTTGAACAACTTTTACAAGAAATTACAATGAAAAATAGATATACGACACATGCGAATGCTCCTAAAAGTGAAGTGTCCCTAAGTGCTACTTACTCGATGATTCCTGAAAAAGCATGTAAAACGAGCGTCAACTATAAAAATAGTTGGTGAGTACTCACAAGTTTAACAGAATAATATTGGTTCATGAGTTGAAATCAAAGTTTTGATAAAAGTTTCCAATAATAAAAGTATAATGCTAGGAGTAAATAAGTTTGTAAACACAGTTCGTTTTTATCATGAGAAATAAAGTATATTGCCCGAATAAGATGCAACATTCATATTTTCATAGAAGATAAAGTTCGTTACTCAAACGAGTAAACAAATTTCATTGCTAAAATGAGCTGTCAATTTCGTTGCTACAAGGAGCAAACAATTTCATTGCTAAAACATGTATATAAGTTTCCACTAGTAAAAGTTCGTTGTTGTAATGAGAAATAGAGTTCATTGCTATAATGAGAAACAAAGTTCATTGCTTTAATCAGAAACAAAGTTCATTGCCATATTAACAAACAAAGTTGATTGCTATTAATGAATACAAGTTTATTGCTAAAACGAGAAACGAGTTTGTATGTGTATGAGCGAACAATGAGTCTCAACCAAACCTATGACTGAAGCCCTATCGAGATCTATGCTTATCGTTCCATAGATGAATATGGTATCATGCACTCCAACGATTCGGGCGAGTGAGGAGTTGTCAATTCCTAATAGCGCTATCCATAATGACCATTGGCTCAAAGAGTTAATGGTTAGAGATAAGGGAAGGGCCTTAGTACGATAAGTTCTCATGTTCCGTGTTGCATAAACATACATAAAGAAACATAGCAATACAATAGCAATCATGTTTGATAATAATCAATTTAAATACAACATGCAAACAGTAGTTTTTCTGGACATGCTTTTCCACCCCAAAACATAAAAACCGAATATAGGGGAGTGCATGAATACTCACAATATGCAAAATATAGTAATCAAGTTTATGCGAGTCAATTAAATATAACGAACATAAATAGTTTAGGACATACTTTTCCACCCCAAAACATTTAAAAACCGAAAATAGGGGAATGATGAATACT